TCATTCTGTTTAGGAATAGGTCGACCAAAATTCGAGGCAATGTTCGGTTGCTCAGCGCAAGTTGGAATACTTTCTATTGAACTTCGGCAAAGTGAAATTAATAATAGGTATAAACAAAGAGAAAGATATTGATTGATATTGAAATTCCAAATTTGAAATTGCCTGATCCCGGTCATAATAATAATTAAAAAATGACGAAATACTAGTATTTTTTATATTTTAATTAATAATCACTCACAGAAAAAAAGGTGGGTAAAAAGTTGTATAGATAGAGGATAAAAGTCATTAGGATACAGGGTAAAGGATAAATTTGTGATGGATAAAAATGTTACTAAAATATTACTAGAAAAATGGATGTCATATTTGAGTAAACTGTCTAATTTTAATAAAAAAATATTAGTAATTTTACACTAAACTTATTAAATCCACAAATTTTATATAAATAAGTAATTGCACGTGGAAATATTTTGCCTATAATTATTGTCTATTAATAAAAATATCTTTGACTAATACAACTGACAGCTGACGACAGTACGTAAATAATTAGAACTGGGAAATTACAACTCAACGTCTGTATTGTTGCACGAAAGCAGAGTTGGGTAGTAACTGAATTTTTTGTGCATATTAGACTGTGTCAGTTCATCGAGATATTTCGAGTTCAAGATATGACGTCAGAGGCCTGGAGTGTGGAGTGTGCACTTTAAAACCCATATGCGCAAGTAAAAAAAAACTTAAGGGATTTTGAGAAAAGTGGGGGGAAAGAGCCCCAAAAAATTTTTTTTAAATACTTTATATCAGAGTGGTTTTTTATGTATTTTTGTGCGCTGAACACGATCCCGGGTTCCAAAATGGCCTAAAACGACAGGATTTTGAGAAAAGTGGGGGTAAAAAAATAAAAAAACACGTTTTTAGGGTGAAAAAAATTTTTTTTGGTGCCCTTTACCCCCACTTTTCTAAAAATCCCTTAAATTTTTTTTGACATGCGCATATGGTTCTTAAAGTGCACGCTTTAAGCTTTAATTTAAGACCTAGTAGAAGTTTCTAGCACGTCAGGTAAAGGAGAAAAAAATTCTTGAAAACCCCCAAAAACACGGTTTTTGGGCTCTTTAACCCCCCCTTTTCTCAAAATTCTGACGTGCTGGGCCATTTTGGGACACGGGATCGTGTTCAGCGCACAAAATTACATAGGGAACGACTTCAATATCAAAAATAAAAAAACCATGCAGGCCTGTGTTATCAACACACATTTTAATTTTATTATATGTCAACAAGCGTTTTTCGTGTTTAAAGTATGAATAAAATTGATGAAAGTGGAAACAAATTTTCTTCCACGTAAGAATAACATTGTGTCGTCTGTTTATTGTCCCTCCAGACCTCTGACGTCATATCTTGAACTCGAAATATCTCGATGAACTGACACAGTCTAATATGCACAAAAAATTCAGTTACTACCCAACTCTGCTTTCGTGCAACAATACAGACGTTGAGTTGTAATTTCCCAGTTCTTATTATTTACGCACTGTCGTCAGCTGTCAGTTGTATTAGTCAAAGATATTTTTATCCATAGACAATAATTTTAGGAAAAATATTTCCACGTGCAATTACTTATTTATATAAAATTTGTGGATTTAATAAGTTAAGTGTAAAATTACTAATATTTTTATTAAAATTAGACAGTTTACTCAAATATGACATCCATTTTTCTAGTAATATTTTAGTAACATTTTTATTCATCACAAATTTATCCTTTACCCTGTATCATAACGACTTTTATCATCTATCTTTACAACTTTTTACCCACCTTTTTTTCTGTGATATGTCTGGACTAAGCTTGTTGCATTTTTTGAAGTCATGCCGCTCTCTCTAATTTTTTTTCTCTTTCCCTTTTTCTGTCTTTTTAGAGTAGGTCAGTACAATTTTAGTTGTAAAAATGAATTGAAATACGCAAAGAAAAGCAATGAAGTTCAGAGAGGCAAACTTGGACAGCGCGGGCGTCACATTCAGGAATGAATGACGACGTTTGTGCCAGAAAAGAGATTTTATTATGAGACGCGACTACAAGGAGGTGTTTCCGGGTCGGTATGGTACACTATTTGAAATGGTTCTTGTTGTTGGTTGCTTGGATCTCTCTCTCTCTCTCTCTCTCTCTCTCTCTCTCTCTCTCTCTCTCTCTCTCTCTCTCTCTCTCTTTCCAACAGAAGACTAGAATAAGGGGTGGGGAGGGTATTGAAAGTACTCTTGAGTTTACCGTGCTGGAAATGGTCTGGTATATATACAGTATAATGGGAAAGGCAACAGATGTGAACGTGTAGGTAGTAGTAGTATAGTAGTTTCGCGATGAAACTATCGTCGTGTCTAACCGAGGGGATGAGAGAGAGAGAGGGGGGGAGGTGGTATATGGATAAAGGGGTGAGAGGAAGTGGATACTTGCTCGCGACCAATGACATAAACTTACGGATAGTGTAAACGACTATAACACAAGATCGTATTCTGGACCCCGAGTGTTTGTTACTTCTATGATAACGACCGGCCGTAATTCTTATTTCCATACTTGTATTCATATGAAATTGCGTATTGTTTCCTGAAACTCTTGACTGTTACGTATATATATATATATATATACATATTTCCGGTATTCTATACTATACTCTACGCTCACTTATTGTACCCGACATCGAGGCTTCCTGCATTCAATTTGCCGGCTTTTGTTCAACCATAAGAAGGATTCAGGTCGTCCCATTGATTTTTACCCTTTTCGTTTATATATACTATATTCTCTTTGCTGTATACCCCGTTCTGAGAATGAGAAAATTAGAAACAAATTGATCTTCAAGGATTTTACGACTTTGTTTTATTTGAAATTGGAAAACTTTTCTTGTTTTAATTTGTCCAGTATTAAAATAGAAGTAATGTGTATTTTTAAACAAGAAGATTGCTTTAATTTTTTGTCTTGATATAGGACAATTATTTTTTTTTTTTATCAAAGCGAATTGATCTTAATTAAATTCGACGATTATTATTATTTCACTTTTTTTGGGGCGGAATTTTCAAAATTACCAATGTAAAGAACATATTGTAGAATAGCCTTGAGAAATTTTGGCTGAGTAAAATATGATTGGTTTTCATTGTCCCCACTCGTAATTTTTCATAATTCTCGTCAACTATCGCACCCTGCTCTATAGTGAAAATTTAGTAACTTTATAGTAAATTAATTTTTACTATAAAGTCCCTAAATCCTGCTCTAGTAAAAATTTAGTGACTTTATCGTAAAAATTAAGTTACTATAAAGTTACTAAATATTCACTAGAGCAGGATGCGGTAGTTGACGAGAATTATGAGAAATCGACTTTTCAAAATCTTATTTTTCACGATATGACGTTAGTTAACGTTAAATTCGAATAAAACGAACGTTTAGGATTTTTTATTAGCCAAAAGTGAGATCTCATTAGAGAGAGAGAGAGAGAGAGAGAAAAAAAAGAGAGAAACTCTGATCGTCAGTGTAAGCCATTTTCTAGAGGAGCCATTAAGGTCTCTCTCGTAACGAAGTAGTAGCCGGTCGATTTCAAACGACTCTTTGAATTTAGCTGATGGAAAATCCACAAGTTTAGCGTTCGTGATGTGTGCCACCCCCCCCCCTCTCTCTCTCTTTCTCTCTCTTTAGGATTATAGACCCTTGACTGATGAGAGCGTATGATTTGCTAATTGCCCGCGTTTCCTTGCATCCATCCGTTTCTTTTTGAGACGTCAGGTTCCATTTTATAATTTTGACCGTTTTATCTGTGAAGTTTTGCAGAAAGGCAAAAGAAAATGATATATTTTTTTTTTTTTTTTAAATGCTGAATATCAGTGAAAAAGAGATTTGTGTCCTTTGAGCAATTTCTTCTCGGTCAGTAATTTCACCATTTTTTTTTCTAGATATTTTGTCATCCTCCTATTCTTAATTTATAAAAAATGTGTTCGTTTAGATAATTTCTTTTGAAATGCAATATTTTTTAGTTCTTGATTTAGTTATCTGATTAATTTTTTCTGTTCAATAATTTTTAACTGTTGTAAAAAAAAAATTCTTTTACTGTTTTTTTTACATTTTTTGTTGTGGCTACTGATCAGACGCAATCGTAATTGGCCGTATTCAGTGAAGCTGACGTTCGACGCTCTTCTCTAATAAAGCGGTAACCGCGCGCGTGGATGTATTGTGCGGACCGCATCTCATTGTGGTACAATTGAAAATGGCGAAGGCAAAGGAATCGATAACTATCCAATTCTGATGCTTCATTACATGATCTTTGGTTAAAGAATTTATTGCAAAAAAAAAAGCTTTTTTTTCCTACTTCATTAAATTTAAATGGGAAAAATAAATTCTAATAATTTTTTTTTTCAAGTCTTAACTCTAATTATCAAAAAAATAGCGAAAATATTAAAAAAAATACTATTTTTATTCTAAAATCGATATAAAAATAAAAAAAAAAGAGAAGATCATTAATTTATTAAATCTTCAATTGAATAAATGTTACTCTTTGAGGAATGTTACTTTGACCCATCATGAAAACGTGATTTGATTAAGGTAACTCTGTGCAATTTGGACAGAAAACGACACGAGAGTCGTTGAGAAAGTTTTTGAGAAAAGGATTTTCCAAGCTTGAGAAAAGATGATCAGACTTGATAAAATGGGATAAAGAACCTTTTGCCTTTCATCAAAGTTGATTAGTTTCTGCACTTCAGCTGATTTAGAAAGACGGAGAGACCACCACACCCCTCCATCCTTCCTCAGGGTTAATTGAGAAAGATATATCAAGAAAAGGGTCCCAGATAATATTCACATTCAATGTTTGTATAAGGTAGTAGTAGTACTAGAGTGTGAGTTTTCAATTACAAGAAATTCTAATGATAAAACTTGATATTTCAAAGAAGATATATATATATATACGTTTAAGGGAGAGAAAACTATAATTTAGAATGATAAAGGTCATTATTATATATTTGGAATGTGAAAGCACTCTTACCTGATGATTCCATACCTTGGGTTTAGGACTTCCACTTCCAGATGAAGATATCGTTCCAGGTGAATTATTCGATTTAACAGATGATTTATTGTTTTTTTGATTTGCCCCATTACCATTTGAAGAAGTTGAATTATGCTGTTGACTTGGCGAATGTTGTTGAGCTTGTTGTTGCTGTTGTTGAGTTTGTTGCATAATTTGTTGAATAAGCTCAAGTTGTTGTTTTGTGAGGCCATCGTTATTAGCACCAGGAGCTGTTGCACTCTGCAATAACAAGAAAAAAGAAACTTTTTGTTAATATATATATATATATTTACGAAATTTAGGCGCAATACATTTTTGAAATGGGCGTTGTTATTTTTAGACACTCCCCTTTTTGAGGCGGATATTAAATTAATATTTACATGGGCGTGGTTAATTTAGATAGTCCTCTTTTTGAGACAGATACTTAGTTAAAATTGTAGATGGGCGTGATTTATTTTAGACACTTCCCCTTTGAGGCGGATACGAAAATAATATTCTATAAAGGCGTGGTTAACTTTAGACACTTCTATTTTGATTCGACTGAGTAAAGTAATTTTATACAGGGGTGTGGTTAATTTCAGACACGCCCCTTTTTAAGGCGTATACTTAATTAATTATCTACATGGGCGTAGTTATTTTTAGACACACCCCTTTTTGAAGTTGGATACTCAATATTCAAAATGGGCGTGGTATATTTAAGACACTCCCCTTTTGAGGCGGATACGATAATAATATTCTGCATATGCGTAATTAACTTTAGACACTCCCATTTTGATTCTACCAACTGAACTAATTTTATATAGGGGTGTGGTTAATTTCAGACACTTCCTTTATTAAGGCGGATACTAAATTAATATTCTACGTGGGCGTGGTTTTTTTAGACACTCCTATTTTGATTCAATTGGCTGTATTAGTGTTATAAAGGGGTGTGATTATTTTTTAGAAACTCCTCCTTTGAGGCGGATACTCAATTATTATTCTACATGGGCGTGGCTTTTTTTAGACGGATACGTAATTTTGAGGCGGATACGTAATTAATATTATAAATGAGCGTGGTTAATATTAGGCACTCCCCCTTTTGAGATAGACGCTCAATTAATGCTACAGGGCGTGGCTAATTTTAGACACGCCTACTTTGAAGAAAAATAATTTATGCCTATTTTTTCGAATCTTATAGCTTGAAATAAAATTTTTTTTATAATTTTTTTGAAATTTAATGCACAATCATTTTCAACACAATATATGTTGGCATAAATCCATTTATTATTATCGAAATATGAGGTGAATGTGAAAATTTCCATGAATTTGATTGTGAGTTCTTGAAAATAAATGTACAGGTACTAATTTCTCTCTCTCTCTCTCTCTCTCTCTCTCTATCTGCGTTTGTTGGCACAATAAAATATGGTTACGCATTTTCCACCTGTGCACCATGTTCACACGCACTGTGTGTATTTTACAGTTCAGTGAATCCCAGCTTTATCCACGTCATTGTGAAAGTTATTGGGTGCAATTTTTTTTTAATCGAGACACCTCAATGTGTACACTGTTTGTACAAATTGAGAGAAAAAGAGATGTTGAAAAGATTTTTTTTCTAAATTAAAAAAAATTTCTTTTAATATGATTAAAAAATACATTTTTCCAGTTTGGAATTTTAATTTTTATAAAAATTAGTTATTTTGAAAGAAAAACTCTGGTTATATTTATTTTTATTTGTTTATCGAATTATTTTTTTCATTAAATTATATATTCATTACATAACTATATTATTAAGCATGTTTTTTTTCACGATAACTCGGAAATTTACTGAAAAAAAAAAAAAAAAAAAAAAAAAAATTGGTGCGTGAGTGAGGGCTAAAACAGAGATCGGACAACAGGAACGCAAGCACGTTGCAAATAATTAGATCGTAAAACGTTGAGGTAATCAGTTTTATGTTCCCGATATAACGATTATCTCTGGAAAGTTCGATGTGTGTTCTGGGCGTTACAACGGATTGAACTGCAGATTAAAATTGGATTTGTTAATTACAACTGGGAATGCGGTACATATAGATATATATATATATAGTTGGGTCATGCCAATCCAAATCATGGCTTATTAAAACTTTAATTTCTCTATTTCAACGCAATTTAAACTATATTTATCAAATCCTAAAAATAAATTTCAAAAAAGAAAATTTACATAAGTTTTTTTTTTTTAATGAAAAAAATTTCCGTTACATTCATTCTCTTCACATATATATATATAGTCCCAAATATAAAGAGACTGCACTTTTCTTTGGACGACTGATCTATTTTCGATCAAAAGCATTTCGATTCTCATTTTCTAAAGTTTGACTTTATCTTCACCAACGAATTTCGAACAAATCGCTTCTTCAATCGATCCTCCAAAGCGAATCTGTTTGATTTCGTCGTACCGTCCGCTTTATTCCGAACGTTTCTACAGAGAAGAAGAGACTCTCTTGTATTTACGGAAGCAAGAGGATTCCAAAAGGGAAAACGTATGTTTTATTTATACGATTCCTTACGAATTGCCAGCACACACACACACATACATACATAAATTATTCTACCTCCCCTTCCTAAAGAAAACACATTTACGAATCATTATCAGGAACAGAAAAAGGTTTTAAGACTGTAAAAAAAAAGTTTCAGAAAAGAATTCTATTGTAAAATAGTCACTTCGAAAGATTTATTGTACTCAGGTTTTTTTTAAATTAGTAGTTAAAAGGCTACGTCCATTAATTTCCCCTTAATCTCCAAAATGGGTGTGGCCAATTTTTTACACACCCCACTTGAAAAAAATACTTGATGTCTAGGCGTGGTCAACTTAGCTTCATCCTTTTTTGACTATTACTTAGTATGTAGGCGTGGTTAATTTAGTAACGCCTTATTTAAGTTGGATTCTTTATATGTATGCGTGTCAATTTAGTCACGCCCTACTTAGGGTGGACACTAGATATATAGGCGTGGTGAGGTTAGACCACCCAATATAGTGAGGATAATTTGTATGTAGGCGGAGCCAACTTAGTCCCGCCCTAATTAAGGCGGATACTTTGTATATAGGCGTGGTCAAATTAGTCACACCATATTCTGGGTGGATACTTTCTATGTAGGGCGGAGACTTGTTATGTAGGCGTAGCCAATTTAGTTACGTTCTATTCAAATTGGATACTTTGTAGGCGTGTTTATTTAGTCACGCCCTATTTAAGGCGGATATTTGGTATATAAGGCGTGGTCAATTTAGTCACGCCATATTTAAGGTGGACACTTTTTATGTAGGAGTGGCCAATTTCGTCAGGCCTTACTTAGGATAGACACTTTATATAAAGGCGTGGTTAATTTAGTTACACCCTATATTTAGGGTGGATACATTGTATGTAAGCGTAGCCAATTTAGTCACTCCCTAATTAAGGCGGATACTTTGTATATAGGCGTGATCAATTTAGTCACGCCATATTTAAGGTGGACACTTTTTATGTAGGAGTGGCCAATTTCGTCAGGCCTTACTTAGGATAGACACTTTATATAAAGGCGTGGTTAATTTAGTTACACCCTATTTAGGGTGGATACATCGTATGTAGGCGTAGCCAATTTAGTCACGCCCTAATTAAGGCGGATACTTTGTATATAGGCGTGGTCAAATTTGTCACGCCCTATTCTGAGTGGATGCTTTGTAGGAGTGTTTATTTAGTCACGTTCTACTTAGGATGGAGACTTGGTATATAGGCGTGGTCAATTTAGTCACGCCTTGTTTAGGATGGATACTTGATATGAAGGCGTGATGTACGATGAGTTATCAATGAGGGGGCGTGTTTAATTTCACATACGCCTTCTTTTCAAGCGGATACATTATCAATAACTATAATGGGCGTGGTTAATTTTAGTTTTAATCAATTTTTATCACTACTATATATTGTTTACGTAATAATTTTTGTTTTTATTCTAATTTTTAAACAGATTCGTAGTTTTTAAGTGAAAAAATAATTTGATTTATTAAAAAAATTTTGCGATGGGAATAGTGTGATAGAATAAAAAGAAAATCTTAGCTTGAATATAATTTTTATTTTTTTTTTTGCATGGCTAAATTAATTGAAGCAGATTATCGTAAAGGATATGAAAACTTGAGTAGTTTTGTTTTCATTTTAGTATTATTATTTTTCCACTTTCTTTCTTTTTTTTTTTTTTTTTTGTTTGATCATGCTTTGAACTCTTTCGCCACCTCGGAACTTTACGCGAAGAAAGTTTTGAAGGGTTCTTATACTTTTAATTCGCTTAGGTTTGCGCACGTTAGACTGGCACTGGCTTTAGCTTATTACTATAGAGAAAAGCAGGTGGTAAGATCTTTCTCTCACTCTCCATCTCTCTCTCTCTCTCTCTCTTTCTTTCTTTCTCTCATTTTCTTAGGGCACGTCAATTTTCATTTAAAAGTTTATTCACCCCTTACCTTGCTTTCTTTTTCACTGTTAGCTATCTATAACAACGTTGCTTCTCATCTTATTTATTTGTATGAAAAAGTCCCTTCTTGGTAAGTTACACTGTGCGGGTGTAATATTTATCCACTGTGTAACTTGACGCTCTTTTTTTTTTTTTTTTTTTTTTATTTTGAAATAAATACCTACTTTAAAGTTTGTTTTCATTTTTTGTTGCTATTTAATATAATTTTTGTTAGTGTTATAAAAAGTTAATAATTGTTTTGAAAATTGTAAATTATGAAATTAATTATACGGTAATAGAGAGAGGGGAGGTTTTATGACTTAAATAAATAATTCATTAAAATTTATACTGCTTATGCGTTCAGTTCCATTGATTATACATTTATATACCTTGAACGTAAATTATCAGATGAACTTATACCAACACATTTTACGCGAAGCATAATTATAGCTAAAATAGTTAATACATTTGCATTTACATGTCAGCGAAAATTCCAATTTCCGTCGCGCGCGCGGTTGCCATTCATTTCCATTTATTGGCATTCACTTGTTAATGAAAACGAATGGCGACGAACTTTTATTAACGATTTAATTACTTTAAAAAAAAAAAAAAAAAAATTCTCCCTCTCTCTCTCTCACTTTCTAGATATATGCAATTTTATTCTGTATTTATAAATAGAATTTTCATATTCTATTAAATTAATAATAATCAAAAATTTCAATTTTAATAAAATATTTTTAAAAAAATTTAAAAAAAATTTTTTCTATCAATTTTTGTTGTAAATAAAATTTTAAAGAAATTTATAA